TCCACCGCGTCCCGGTGGCCATGAACCGCCGGGTGGTCCCCCTGGCCTAGGGGCGCCGAGCTGCTTGTTGGCGCGGGGCTCGGCCACCATCATTTGTCCCTTCTGGACCGAGGACTTCTGACTTAACTTTCTTCCCAGAGAAGAAACAGGCTTAGCAAGTAACAACTGGGTTAGGTAAGGCCAGGGAGGGACCTGGCTTTGGGTGGATGGCCTTGAAATCAGTGGGCTCCTTTGGTGTGCGTGCAACTAGTTGGTTGTGAATGGAATTTAAAGTTGGTTCTTGCTGCCATTTGGCCTCTGATGTGCAAGACCGCCGGCATCCAGGGCTGCATGCTGCCTTGCAGACTGGGGCCTGGGATGGGTGCGCCTGGCGGGGCACCTCCTTTCTTTCCGTTCCGTTGAGGTCTATGGGTTTTTCGTAATGTGAGTTTCCAGTGAGTGCTAGCTTCTTACGGTTTCACTCGGAAAGCATTGTTTCCCCTGGGAAGTAGATATGTATGTGTAAACATGCATTTTAAAGATAATGTAATTGCAGTCATTCTAGAAAACTCTATTCCTCCAGGCTAGGCCAGTCTTTGCTTTTCATCTGTTTGCATAAAGCAGGGCAGTGAAGAGAACCGTCCGGGATTCTGAGGCCACAGCTCTGGTGAAAGGAGACGCTGAAAACGCAGAAGTTCTTGCAAGAAGGTAGTTATTTGGCAGAGGAGTGTATTAGCATTCTGGCTATTTGGCTCAAACTATAGTTGAAATGGCAGTTAAAACAGACACACAGATAGATACAATGCCACTTCTTTGTTTCAATTCTTCATTCTCCAAATCGGGGCAGGCAAGTAAGCATATTGGCCCAAATGCAAACTCATGGATATTGATCAGATATTGTAGGTATGTCAAGACTACATTTCTTCTGATGTTGCTTAATGTAGCAATGAAGGAAACACATAGGGAGCAAGGGAATAGGTCCTGTGGATTGGGAAGGTTGGGGCTGAGGAATGAGGCTGGAGGCCAGGGTTGTCATAATTTGATTCCTTGAGTGGGGAGACTTGAGGGCCCTGGTGGTACAGAGGGTTACGAGTTGGACTACTAACCACAAGGTCAGCAGTTCAAATCCACCAGCAGCTCCATGGGAGAAAGATGGGACTTTCTACTCATATACAGTTAGTCTTGGACACCCACATCCACAGATATACCCCGTCCTAGATGAGCTGGAATTGGCCCGATAGCAGTGAGTTTTTGTTGAGTGGTGGGACAGGCAGGTCAGCTACCCTGTTTCCCCGAAAATAAGACAGTGTCTTATATTAATTTTTGCTCCCCCAAATTCACTAGGTCTTATTTTCAGGGGATGTCTTATTTTTCCATGAAGAAGAATATGGTACACATTTATTGTTTATTGTTTTATTAAAAGAGACCTCACACTTCCTGTCTGCTCCGGCTGCGCTGCGGCCAATAGTGAGCTG